CTTAAGCTTGGCATTTCATTTCATAGCTCGTCACTCGGCGGGCTTCTGATTGGCTAGTTGCGATAGATCCCTTTTCGTTCGCCGTTGCGACCGCCAGTTCCACAGCTCGTTCAAAACCAACAAAGGTGTCAAGAAATACTCGGATGCCGTGGTTTCCAGTGGGCACTACTTATTATATGATACCACCGCGGTAGACCTGCCCTTACCCAGTGTCCAGATGCTTCGGCCCGATCGATACCCATCTCGCCACTAGGGCACTCCGGACATTTTTGTGAACTAGCAAGTATCCACTGCTAATGCTTACGCCTGTTGATCTTCCCTCGAAAATGAGAGGAAATGCGAATGCTGCGGACATTGCTGTAATATTCCTTCCTGTCCCTCCATGATCGTATCACATTTGGCAGATAATCCGGTAAAGGAATAAAGAGAGGAAGGGAGAAAAGAGGAGTCGTATCTGGTAAATAATGTATGCAGAGTTGGACAGATTTGCGCAATTGAGTACTTCGAGTAGGAAGGCGGAGGACTGTGCCATATCCCACCTCCGGATATTGCCACACTTGCGATCTTAGAGAGTTGAGAGATTGTGGGCCAATGTAGTAAACGCTAATTCGGAAGCTGCCATGAGGCAATCATATCGATTCTGGTGAGCAGAGCCGATACAAGACTCAAACGCACTGTTTTTGTCACATTCCTCCATTTGCCCCCAGATTTCATAGGCTCTAGTCAAGTAAGCGCAAGAAGAGAAGACTCCTAGATGAAAATTAAAGATAAACAGGGAATGCCAGGATCATTTTTTGTTTAGGTATGACGAAGGAGCGATTGTAAATTGACTATATAGACAAAATAAGAGAGGGAGGATAGTGATCAATGAAAGACTCGTTTTATTCACCTAAAGCAAGAAGGAAAAACATTGTGCTTTTATCCTAGCAAAATAATAAAACATAAAAGACAACTAGAAAAACTTTTCCTCTACATGATACAGGCTACTGATAGTCGGTAACAAGAGTGTCACAGATGTTGTTGATGAAACAAAACAGAAACAAAACTAATGCAAGATAGACAAGTAAAACAGTAACAGAATCAACGGCTGCACCGACAGGTTTCAACATCATTGACCGTAGCCTCCCTAGTAGCTGTTCGGAGAGGATCGATTGTGGTGTTGGCAGATTCTTAGATTCCTGCATATTCTCAGAACCAGTTTGGTGGGCAGCCCTGTTTGGGTAACAGAAGAATTTTGAGGGTATCATATTTGAGGAAAATGTCCGTGTGTAGAAATCCGCTTTGAAGGGGGTGGAAGTGAAGATGTGAAGAGAATGAAGATTTAGAATAGATTATCTATACAAAAAGGCAGGTGGTATTTTCTCTAGAATCTATCAGCCTCTAGCATATTTTTCTTTTTTTTAATTAAATCATATATTCTTATTTTTAGGGTACAAGAACTTGCATGCAGTAACTAAGACTATGGCATAAAAATAAACCCGTAAATCAAAATGCTAACAAAAGAAATTACCAAAACTATCCCAGTAGCCCACCCCGCCCCCGATATGCAGGTAACTGCAAATAATGCACACAACCAGAGCGTGACTAACAAAGTTGGAAAGACAAACTCCTGGGCCAGCGGCCACACCAACCCACAGAATGCCAAACTAGAAAATGTAAAGTGCCCAAATGGGCGGCGAATCCCAAGGAAAACCGGCCCTAGACTGAGGGGGCAGTATGGTGCCAGCTGGTAGTGGTAGCCGTGAACGACCGGAAGGTGGTGGTAGCAGTAAGGTGCCAGCTCGTATAGGGCCCGGGTAGCAGAAGGGTGCGAGCCAGGCTGTAAC